TTGCTAAATAATTGAAAGGATTTCTAGTTATAGTTTAAACAGACAGACCTATGGTTGCATTTTTATTTAACAGTTTAGAAAGCATGTTGCAAAGTTTGATGAAATTGATTCTCAAACCAAACATTTTAAATAAAGCTGCAACAGCATATAGTTTAATAAAGATTGAAGTTGGTAGATCAAACAACCAACTAGATGTAAACAAAATTAAATTCGGAACAGCACTAAAGCAGATGCTAAGTTCTCTTTGTTGTAAACCAGAAGATAAATTAGAGTTTATAATGATATGTAAGCAGATTATCATAGTGTTATTGTAAAAATTACAAGAATGATGCTCATTGGAATATCCTTTAGTGATGAATGCTTCATCTTTGTCTCCAAATGAAATGGTTCAAAACAAGGAAATATCCACTGTTAAATTCAAGGCTCTAGCTGAGATATTGACTGCATTAAAATGGCTTTTAACTGATAATGCAGATAATGCAAAACAACAATATGATGAGTTCGTTAGTGCAGAAGGTGTTCAATTTAATGAAAAGTTTGAGTCTTTTAACAAATTAACTGATTCTGTTGATAAATTGCTTGCTGTCTATTTACAAAAAACTCTGAAGTATTCAGCATTGTGGAAAGTTTGTGCTTTCATTTTTGTATTATCTCATGGCCAATCTGCAATTGAATGAGGATTCAGTGTCAACAAATAGTTTTTGGTCGAAAATCTGCAAGAGAGATCTCTTATTTCTCAAAGATTTATGATCACTTAATTTTCATGATCACTTAATTTTCATGACATTGTTATTCATCAGTATAAGCTCCCCAGCAATCTTTTAATAAGTTGTAAGCTAGCATACAATCACTACAATGCAGTATTGAAAGAAAACAAGGATCAGTTAAAGGTAGATGAAGTAAGCAGAAAATGTCAATTGATTGATGGAGATATTTTAGTTATTAAAAAACAGAAAGAAAGTACATTGAAATTCTCAAATCTGATGCTGAAAAGTTAAGCATTGACGCAGAAGCAAAGAGACACTTCACTGTCTTTGCAAAAGAAAATTCTTTTAGAAACACAATTTTAGAAAAAGAACAAACAATTAAAGACCTTGATTATTTGGTCGAATGCTGAATACAAAAAAAATGCCGTAACGATAAAAAAAACGTATAAAAACGGACTACATAACTATTTTTTTAATTTTTTTTGTTTTA